GAATAAAAACAATATTTACTATCTGACAAACAAAGAGAAAATGCAGCATACATACTTGCACACATGAAAAAGCAGTCACTTCTACAAGACTATGTTTAGCTCACAGCTTTCTCTCTTTCAAGATAAATTTCCACAGAACTAAAGCACAATGTTCTTTAAATATGTCTTTCTTTGTGATCTCCTATTAGAGCAGGCTCCAGAAAGTGCACTTGAATTCAAGAAGTAAACTTGCTTTCTTTGTTGAGTTAACACTTGAACCTCGTGACCTTTGTTCTTTCACAGCACTGGTCAGCTGTTTTGTTTAATCAATTTCAAGTGGCCAGATATCACAGCACCAATGCTTTCAATCTGGATTCTATACGTTACATTAATTGTGGATATATTTGTAAAATTATACATACTCTGCCAAAGTCATAACAGCTTCATCCTGAATTATACACTACTAGGGATCATTAGTAGTAGTAGTGCTAAACAACTAGATAAGATTGAAAAGATACAAAAACCTGTTTAAGACTGGTAATGGGATGTATTTCGATTACCCATATCAATCAAGGGCCTCTACACCTTCCAAGCAATCTATCATTGAGTCACTGCCATTGCCACTGGGATATTCCAATTCCACAATGACAGCACATTTACCAGTTAAACAAGGGATTGTTAAAAATTCGGGAGACAGTCACTGGTGAAAAGGTGCTTTACAGCCAACAATAAGACAACTGGTCACCACCAAATCTCAGATGCTTCTATGTAGAATAAGCATTTGGAACCACTGAAGTATATGGAAATGAGCCTAGACAGAAATTGTACAGAAGGGACAGAAGGTGAAATAGAAAAAATTAACAATATGTATTTAAAGACCATGGTGGACATCTACCTGCAACCTTAGATGCAGATGGTTCCTATACCACAGACAGAGTGAGAACTGGTTGGGCATTTATTGTCTTTCAGAGCAACAATATTCTACATAAACTGGTGGAGCACTCAAGCTTCCCATAAACAACACAAGGGTGTAGCTATGAGCCATAAAGCTAGCTATCCTCTGGACCATTGAAAGCAATAAACTGCAAACAAACAGTGCCACAAATCTTGGGATGAAGTGATTGACCACATCCAAAAGTATTACAAAACCTAGGAAGAAAAGAAATAATAGAAACTGAATAATGTACAAACAGTCAAAACTTCCAATGTGCCCAAGACACAGCCATTGAACATTAATGTTAGCGCTGCTAAACCAAGGCTACCAGATGGTAATCTAGGTCCTGCATTGAAAAACAAACAAAAAATGAATAAATAATAAGACAGAATCAGTACAAAGTTTTTTGAAACTATGAAAATGCACTTGTTGCAAGAGGTGTTACTTTGTGAAAGGCATTCAGCAAGCTAAAAGGCCCTTCAGAAGATCTCAGCTGAATGGGAAAGATCTACAGAGAACCTGAATTTATTTAATGTTTGTGAACCTTTCTATTTATATAACCCCATATTCTTTTTTATTATCTAAATTCAGTTTATTTTATATACAATTATTTCATTATACCTTATTCTATCGTTATGATGTAACAGATTTAGAGTTCAGTCCTGTATCACTGATTTTTAATTAGTAATGTGCAATTTGTTTTTTTTTAGTTTTGTTTAAATTGTTTTTCTGTTCATTTTTAATCCACTGTATTTCAGTTTATGATTCATTCCTAATTAATTTGAGTTTTACTTGATTTTCTTTCAAGTTATGATTTGTTCTTGTTTCATTTATTTCATCCTGTTCTGTCAAAAAAGTGACTTATTTAACATTTTAAGTTTACATGAATTTATTCAGTACTTTGCTCTAGTGTTTATTAATCATTTCATGTGCATTTGCATTTCACTTTCTACTTTTTATTATATTTGTGTCAGGTTTTATGTATGGGTCAGATTCTTTACAGTGGGTGTCTGTGACTTGTTGGCAATGAATAGAAAGCATTCAGCCTACTTGTTTTAAGATAATATATGAAAACATGTCAAACATATATACAAATATTTGCTACACTATTAGTTATCACACTTTTATCCAGAAATTTAAATAACTGTCTCTTTTTCATCAAAGTCTACACAGACTGGTTCAATTACTTTAGAACACAACTTGACAAGACAAATTATTCTTCTATATTCTGTTATTACAATACAATCTATGATAATTTCACCTTAAAAATCACAACTATACTCTCTTTATGATTAAATTTACAATCATGCAGTCTAGATCTAACAAACTCTCAAAATAAATTTTCAATACGTATATATACCCCAACGAATGTCTAGGACATTCCACACACTATGAGATCTTATGATGCAATAATACTCAATTAAAACAAAGAGAAAAATTCAGAAGGTTCTGGTAATATGATGCAATAATATAACAATCACCAATTCCTAATTATTGAACTACACAACATATGATCCATAAATAGTTAAGTAAACAAGCTTGCAATAAACAATCACTTCTAATAATAACTAAATTTAAAACACATGTTATATAACTATCTAAGTCATAACTCTCACATTAAACTGAAATGGAAACAGTAGTGTATCTCTAACAATTCAGTTCATGCAATATTTCATTAATTCGCATTTATTAAAAGCTTGTAAAAAATCTGTTATGTTAAAACTAAAGTTGGACAATTAATTTCCCTACCCATAAGCATCAATTAGTGTCACTTAAAATTATCAATTATCCAAAATTATTGTTTCTGGCTATTCCTGTTTGTGATCATTCTAACTATTCCAGTAATCAAAATATTGCCATTATAATTTCTCCTTATTATTTTTGATTAATTCAAGTTTTTTCAGCTTAATCAATTAGTATCATGATTCACAAAAATAATCAACTAATCAAAATTGTTTCCAATCATAAGTGGACTTGTAAATCTCAGTGTCTGCTATTATAATTCTTTTGTATTATTCTAGAAATCCTGTATTTAAAAAAGTACTTTTGCAATAAAGCTACTAATTTGACCATAAATATTTTGCAAGTCTCTACTTGTAACAGATAAAACAAAGTATTTCCAAAGAAAAATTCTGACATTCATTTAGGAGGTTCTAAAGGTTATGCAAATCAAATATGAAAACTGTAAGATGAAAACATTAAAATCATTCAGATTAACTCAATAAAGCCTTTGGATATTTACAGATAATTGTTAGTAGAAAAACTTCATTAACAATCCAGATCTTTTTGAACAACAGATTTGTAATGTTTACAAAAAGCTTACCAAATTTTGTGATGATACATGTAATAAATTCTGAATTATAATAAACATTACTATGGATATCTCTACAGATATGGGGTAAATTCAATGAACCAATGCCATTGACACAGAGTTGAAAGTTTTTTCCTTGTCTGTCCTTTTAGTAAGTGTCATAGCATCTTGTGCATCACCTAAGGAGATGCCTATGAAGAACACATCCACATTGACTACACATATTTGGTTACTTAAAGTTAAGGTTAAAGGTTTAAGTCTAGGAAGGCTCTGGATGTGGAATGGGGAGGGGAGACACATTTGAAAAATGACATACTGATTCTTCCATAACAAAAATATAACATCTTCATTCAAGTATATTCTTTACAAACAAGTATGTTGCATTTAGTTAATGTTCTTATAAACTCACTCAAGTAACTGCCTCAGGCTAAAATTACACACCAATGTTCATTTAAGAAAGCATGTGCTTGTCAGGTTAAACTTCCTTATCTCTTCCCCCTTCAGATGTAGGTAATACTAAACTATGGAGTGGTATAAAGATTTGTATACAGGTTGGTATAAAGTGAGAATTAACCTTTTCGGTGCAATGAGAATAATCACTGACACAAGTCAATCTAAATTCTGGGATAATGCACTTGTACTCTGGTCTAGTGTGGTATAACCACTCTTTTTTTCAGTCTTTATCCTGTAAAAGTCTTTTCTTCTTTTTTTACCATATCCCAGTCATTTTAACAAACATCTTATACGAGTTATTTTTATTCTTGTGAAAGCACTTTCTCAAACTTCCAGCATTGTAGATTTTAATACTTATCTGTTGATTACAGTTTTTACCTGTAAATAGCACACATCCTTTAAGTTCCCTTACTGAAAGTTGTTCTGCAACATTCACAATTATTTTCTTTTTCCTCAAGAATTTTCAACTATCTACTAACTTCATTACATTATTATTATTATTCATAACTTGGTCAATGACCATTCAAAGATATATACATTGTTTATAAAAGCTCTAAGATACTTAATAAAATAAAATAATGCATTTGCTCATTTCATTGTGCTTGTTTTATTCAATCTAAAAATCTGGTCATATTACATAACATGTTAATACGGTGACTAATATATATATATATACCAAAGGTATTAGATTATATGTTTTGTACTTATCAATCTGAGTCTCAAGAAATGATGCAGCTAGCTCCTGATATGTTGTTTTAAACTAAAAATGAAGCCACAAAGGTTACCAGTGTATTGATACTATACGGCTATTATCTAATCAACAGCCAATTAACAATGATCTTGTTATTATAGATAATAGTAAGTTGAGTAAACAGATAACTTTTAAATGTATTATATAACTACAAAGAAACTGATGGCAACAAAAGTTTATCCACTACAGCAAATTAATATGTGGTTGTTGATGCCATACACTAAATGCTCTGACTCAATACAATAACTTGCTTGTTATGATGACTAACATTCTGATTCTTTGTGGTGCCTTTTACCACAAGCCATCATGGCTTTATGATTATCATCTAAAACATTTTTGTTAGATCAAAATCACAAATTAAAAACAAAATCACAGGAAAACTGTAAAATAATAAGCACAATGACAACATGTTTCAATGGTAACAAAATCTAACCTTCTTGTAAATGATCAGACAAAATGATATACATTATTATTAAAATGAAAACACTTTCATGATGATAACTTTACTATGTTATCTATGTCACTGTTTCCTGTCTTACAATTTTTATCATACAAATGAACAAAGGACTTACTTGTAGCTTTCTCTTCTTTCTGATCATGCTTAGTTGGTGTATTAACAGCAAGAACATCATTTAAAGTAGATCCAACTACCATCACTTTAGACCCTTTCAGAAGTCCCTGATCTCTCAATGTTTTTTCATCCTTTGCTAACCCTAAAAATAAAGAAAGGGGAAATTGGACTTTCTAAAACATGGGTACTTGAAAACAAGCAGAGAAATATACAAAAATAAAAACTGATGATTTTCATGCAAAAATAGACTTAACAGAAATAAAAACCAAATATTTATGGGACATGTGTAGATACTGATTGCAAGCTCATTACAAACGAATGAAATTTTTTCTGCATTTGTTTGTTGATAATTGTATTCACAAGGTTAACATTTCCTTTACCTGAAAATGTATTTCTGATAGAAACTCTCTTCTTTCCACAACGAATGGCTATTTCTTGCACACTCTCATGAAAATGTTTGCACACACCACAAGCCTTGAACAAAACTCCCATCCTTGTACATGTCAATGTGTATTGCACCAGGAAGTGATGTAATCATCATTACACTATAGCCTTCCACCAGAAGGAAGGTGACACATCCCCATGAGCACTAGCAATTGAACAATGGCTCATTCTTGATGAGGTAAACAAAATGCACCAGAATATGAGAGGAAAGATGGGAGGTAAGTACTTATCTGAAATACATTTTCAAGTAAAAAAAATTTTAACTGCAGAAATGCTACTCACCTCTCTTCACAGTGAATAATTAGAATCCCATATTAAAGATGGTGGAGGGGCTGGTGCAGATAAAAAAATTATAAATATTAATTCCTTTCTGAAAGTTTACATTTTATTATACTGAAAATGTATTTCCGATAATACTTACCTCTCTCTCACACTTTAGCTTGATCCTGACAAAAGGTTCTCTTTGCCCATCTAGGAATTGGTAGGAATTCTACCTTGCTTTCTCTAGTCTTTACACCCCACTATATCACCCCTAGTGATTTTAATCTTGTAATTCTCTCCATCTCTCCACCTACATCAATGCGACTCTATACCTGATCTGCATACAAGTTCCTCATTATTCTTTCATATTTACTTTTTTTAAGACTGGCAAGATTATCAGACCCAAATGTAAACAGTCATGGGTAGGTGTGAGAGGAGTTAAGTATTATCGGAAATACATTTTCAGTATAAGAAAAATGTAAATTTCCGAAACACACTTCCTCTCACACTTTAGCTAGAATCCCACACTGACCAGGTAGATGAGCCAGTGAGGGCAAGATCCACACAGAAAGAATCGAAGACCATCTTCCATGATCATGGAAAGTAAGAGAATGACCAAAACGAAGGGCCATGCTCACACAACCAGATAGCAAAATGTCATTTCTGACCTGTAATAACGAGGAGGCTCTTGCATAGATTAGACCAGCTCTCCACCGGACATTTGAAAAAAACATCTAGAGTTAAAGGTTGAATGGAATAATATGCATAAACATCACTCAGGAGTAATAGACCTCTGTCCACCACTCTAGTGACTGGAAAATGAGAACGGTAAGGACTCCCTCGCTCCACTAGAAGAGAGAAGACGGGTGACTCTTGTTGAGGAGTCCTGAGGAACAATGCTCCAGAGACATTGCAACAAGTGAACCATGTTCCCCATTTCAAAAAGCAGACCAACCTCAATTTGTTCAATTCAAAGATTATCAGGGATGGGCATAATCCCTTCATGCTTTACTCATGAGTGGCAATGCAGTACTGTATATTATATTTAATATAGAACAACTGTTCCCTACTCAGAAAGTGCCATCTTAACAGAGTTCATTGCTACCAGGAATTTAGTTTTGGTCTACTGGTAGCTAGTGCAGATTTGTAAAAGCATACCCAACCAGGCAACACTTGCCACTGAGTGGGATCCAAATGAGAATGATAAGAAGGTCCATGAAAAGGAATGAAGTTAACTCTGTCACAATCGAGCTGGACTATGTAGAATAGACATTGGAGGTAACCAAAACCCATCCGAGAAGGAGACTGCTAAATTCTGTAAATGTACAATATAAAGGTGTTAGGTGGGATCCACATACCAGTCTGTAGAATTCCCTCCAGCAAACAATGAAACTGAGTTGCCAGGGACATCGACATGTGTCGAACTTAATGAGATGAGACCCAAAGAAGTCTCCACTCCTCCAATGAAAGACCAGAGTAAGCTATACAAACCAACTCACGAATCCAACTTGTCAAAGTGACAGGAGATAAGTCGCATGATACCAAGGGATCCCAATGGATAAATAACTGGTGATGTGAGCCAAGAAATGCTTCAGTACATGCCACGTAACATCAGATTGCCCAAACAGAACATAAAAAATTATCTGGATCCAATTGGTCGTATAAATAGGAAATGAATGGAAGATGAATAGGAGACAAAGCCTTATCTCCATAGCTAGTGCATTTGTAGGTAGAAAGAACCTGTCTGGATACAACAGAATGTAGTTGGAATGGTAGTGTCCTGTGAAGATGAAGCACAAACACATATGGATGTCAATGCCCTCTAGCCAATAACACAAGAAAATATGATATAAGTGAAATATGATATTGTGAATATGGCCCCAAAGGTTCAAAAAATGGATGTGTTAATCCATGGAGAACCACTGTGATATCCCAGTTAGGAACCTGAAAAGGGTGATAAGGACAGATAACCTGAAATGATTTTAAAAGTAATGACAAAACCAGGGACTCAAAAATTTTCTGATCTTAGAAAAATGAAAAGTAGCTGATAAGGTAGCATTTTACAAGGCAACAGACGAAGATGCCAAACCTTTGTCAAACAACCATGTGAAAAATTGAGACATGTGGTGCAATGAGATGCAAAGGGTTAAACTCATGTCTAAGAGACCATTGATAATATGCAAACTATTTCCTTTAACAAACTTCCAAAGAAGGATAACAAATGGAATGTGTGAATAAGGATGCCACTCAAGACATCAATCCCCGATGTTGTGCGATGGCCGCATAAAAGCCAGGCATAAAGTCAAAGAACGCTGACTGCTGGATGTCCAACCAAAGCCAACATAAAAGAGATGGCCAGAGAGAAATGAGAAGAGGCTGACACTGATACTGGAAGAGTAGAAACCAGGGCTGACCTGGCAAATATGGTGCCACTAGAAGAATTCAACAGGACCTGGAGCAAATCAGTCCCAGAATCTTTAAGTAGACAAATCAGAGCAAATGTAGAAAGATGAAGACCCATCCAATCATGACTGAGAGTAAACTACTCCCAAAGTCAGAGGGTGAGGTACTGTAGACCAGAAGAATAGGTGCTGAGCAGTCCAGTGTGTCACAAAAATATCAATCTGTAGTGTCCCTAGAGAAGAGCAGATCCAATACAAAACTTGAAGACAAAGCATCCATTATGTAGGAAGAGCTCTGTTGGGATGAGATAACTGGTCAGCCACAAGAGTTATTACTCCTGCAATATGACAAGCTGGGAGAAGATCTACTGTTTGAAAACAATGAATTGGAGTTCTTGCCCTTTTACTCTAAAATGTACGAGACTACTGTGGGATTGTCCAAATGTAGCATTACCACCTTCCCTAGCAACAATTTGAGACCCTGAGTCATCCACAGTCCAAGTAAAAAGAGCCATTAAAGGGAAAGAAACAACTACATTGTAAATCAAGGAAGCAATGGAGATGAGAAAGGTCAATGACTGGTCACAAATCGCCAGTCTTTCCAGTACTACTAACAGCCGAGAATAAAAACTCTAGAGAGAGAGGAGGTGACGTGCTCTGTGGCATCTTTTTGTGCAGAAGATCCTAGATGGCTTTTGCTTGACAGTTGGAAATAAGAGGGTCCTTGAAAAGTGGAAAGCCAACTGGTATGAGAGACAGAGGAGGAGGAGATCTGAACTGTATAACCAATCCGCTCCTGGAAACCTGAATGACTCAGTGATCTGTGGGGTCTCAAAACGAGACCCCACAGGATCTGACACATAAGGTAGTAAACGATGCCAAAATGTGCACTCCACCCAGGAGGAGGATCCCTGCTAGTAAGGTAAAAATAATTCTGTGTTCCAATGGATCATGGAGCTAAAGCAGGAGGTCTGGAAACTCAAATGGAATATGCAGTAAACCATCCTGTAGGAAAATCTTGGAACAGTTGAGAAGCTAGTGCAGAAAGTGACATCTATTCTAGATTCCATGGAGTCTGGAATTCCTGCAAAAATAGACCCTCTGAGAAAAGGAGCTTCTCTGAGATCTCTAAGGGCCAACATAGGAAGGTAAACTCCCTCAAATAAGGCATCTCTCTGTCTTTTCAAAAGATCCTGGCAACAAACAATTCAAGATACCAAGAAGAAAGCAGAAGCTGATAACCTGACCAAAGTGGAAGTCAATTACTAAATAAGATCCTCCAAAATTTGAGCAGAGAAGCTATGATAGGCCTCAGGCAACAGTTGCAAATATGATAAAAAAACACAAAACTGTTGTAAGTGACAGATGAATTCCGGAAAACTGAGATTGATTAAGATCCCCCAAATAAGAAGTAGAGGGTTTAACCTATGAGAGTCCAAATAAGAGTTCTCCAAGTGATGGAAAGGGAAGACATGCTGATCCAATAAGTAAGAAGAAGAAGGCATAGCAGCACCCAATTGATCTGCAAATTTCCTTGCATGCACAGCAATATCTGGCAAAGGTAGAAGGACCAGGTAATCACACAAACTAGTTTCTCCCAATAAAGAAGGTGAAGCTTCATAAACCACAGGAGAAATACTTAAAACATTAGAAACATGGTTTACTAGTTGTAAAATGGGTGCAGGAGGCTGAATGTCCATCTAAGATTTGGGAGTAGCCATCTGAGCAAAGAAAGATGTTGGAAAAATAGAGTCTAGATTCTCACTAGTCCACCCTTGATTCCCACAAACTTAGCCTCAGAACCAACAGGAGAAAAAGCACCAGACTGGTTGTAAGACTCTACTTCTATGCATATAAGGAAATGTATCTCCTCTGTGGAAGGTGGGTCTTCCCGATGCTTGAGTAACATTAGACTCGTGAGGTGGTAGAGGAGAAGAATCAGGTGACTCTGTGTCTGAGATGTCAACGTGAGTATTCATATTCGAAAAACATCTCAAAACAATTTTTTTAATCGAAAATCAAAAAAATAAACAATAAACTCAAGCCCTGCAAAAAAGATCTAAACTAATTCAAAAGAAAACATTGCAAATGTAGTAACAGCACTGAAGAAAACCCACAGTAAACATGTAAGACCTTCTTTATAATTTTAGCCTTCAAGAAAAAGTGACTAAGAAAGAATAATGGAGAGTTTATAAACAGATCAGGTATAAAGGGTGCATTGACATACGTGGAGAGAGTCACAAAACTAAACTTACTAGGGATGATATAGTGGGGTATAAAAACTGGAGCAAGTGAGGTAGAATTCATACCGATGCTTAGACAGACAAAGAAGAGAACTTTTCATTGGGATAAAGCTAAAGTGTGTTTCAGAAATACAGTGTAAGAAGGGAATAGACCATGGAGCATGTCCCCGCTCGATGGGACACCATATCTATCTCAAGTAAGAATGATGGCAGAGTAAAAGATATTGTAAAAAAGATAAGAGCAAAAGATATTGCTTCCTTGTTGCATGAACTTCCATAACTCAAATCTCTTCAAGTTTGAGGATCCTTTTCTTTTTCCTTATTTCTCTCTCTCTCTCCATCTACTCATCTTAAACTCTTACTGACCCAACTTCTTCATTACTTAATGCACATCACATTTTAGAGGCTTTCAAAACCCTGTCAGCTTTACTGGAGTAACTTGTACATTCTTGTTTTCCAACTTGCCCTTAATTTTATTCACTTTTTATCCAAATTAACTTTGTAAGTGACCCCACCAGGCTTCTCATTACATACGGAATTGTGGGTTTGTCTCCCTCTCCTGTTCCTTGTCCTTTTGTTACTATCCAAGACCCCTCTTTGAAGGCTGGCTATTGCAGGTCTTGGAGGTCGTTTCTGGAGCTGCACCTCGGCACTGGTCTGGTGGAAATTCTGCTCTCCCACTTTGAACACTTGTGACTACCTGTGCCATAGACTATAGAGTTACTCAGATTCTTTGTCAAAGGTTTTTATCCCGTCCTTCTACTCTCCACTTCACCTGTTTCAGATGCTATGGGACAATTTTTCAAACCCACTCTGGGGTTTTAATTCAATTTTTTTGTCATTCCCATGAAGAGGTTGGAGGCCAGTTATCAATCTATCTAGCAGTCAACATCTCTGGTATCAGATTTAGCAGATGAGGTTGTGGATGACCTCTGACACAACAGTCACATTAGTTACACCACAGGGTTCTTTCTCCTACCCTGGGATTTGTTTCTCTACAATTGGCATTCTCCACCCTTCACAGTAACTCTCTGGTGGTGTATTATATATTCTTATATTCTCTAAAGGTCTCACTACTACATTATTAAATATATATACACAGATGGAGCCCCCCCCACCCACCACCACCACCAAGTGACCAGTGTGTTTCACAGGGAATTATTTTCTTTCTCTAACTCTGCATAAAGGGAGATGATACAATGTTAGGCTCATCTGTCTCTGTTCCATGCCTGCTGTTGAAATGGTAGTTTTCTGCAAGATTGCTTTGGCAGTATATACCTATTTCTTATCTTCTAGGCCATACTTCACAAGAAAAAAAAGCAACACTACCAGATGGGTGCCTGCTCTCACACCTGGCTAGCATCTGCTGTTATCAATGGCTCAATCTATCAGTGTGGGATCTTATGCAAATGAAATGTTTCCTGTTCGGTCGAAGCACCACTCTGAAATTTTCACTCACATGAATTTCTCCCTCCCGCTTTCTTGTAGTAGTTCCTATCCCATGATCCTGGGGAGTCACTATGGAGAACTCCCCATTGGGATGGTGTAATCTCAGAAGTATGAGAACAAGTGAACACATCCCTCAATGGGAAGTAGAGCTAGAGTGGTTCTTGGAAGTGTAGTTCAGGACACCCCATTATTTTACGAACCAAGTCATTACCAGTGGTTATTCCAGCCAAATGGGTTTTTTGTTCACTTCTCTGCACAACCACCCTTTCTCCCCACTTCTGGTGCATTTCATTTTCATCATCAAGAATAAACCTCTGTTCAAATGCTAGTCCTCATGTGGCCAACTGTGCCTGGAGGTTGTGTCTCCTTCCTAATGATGGAGGGCTATAGCCTAATAATGATTACATCATAAGCTGGCACAATACACGTGTAGGAGTGGGAGCTTCATTCAAGGCTTGTGGCACAGGCAAAAATCTTCACAGCAGTGTGCAAGATAATAGCTATTTGTTGTGCAAAGAAGTGAGTAGTTTCTGAATTTCAGGGATCATCTTCATGCAATCCTGTTTAAGGATTAATCCGGAGGCCTATGAAATAAGAGTATTCCAACTCTTACAACAAATAAAATAGACAATCAGAATTATACACAATAGAAATGGAAAGTACAGAAATATATATTGTAGACCAGGTTAGGGACAATTTAGGATACTATGTGCTATACACTAAATACTGTTCAAAGTATTGGTGTTAGAGTAGTAATTGGGACATGACTGATATGATATTTCATTTGTTTTAAAAGTTCATATAATTGACAAACAGAAACAACCTAAAAACAGCTGCTGAAAAATGTAACTAAAGGCTTGTGAACTAAATAAAAAAGCAATATGGAAAAGAAAACCTCACTCTTATGTCTTAATATACATGTATATATACTTTAAATTTGCCCATAAAATCTCACTGCTTATTCTTAAGTATAAAATTATAGTTCACTAAATTTTACAGTGTCAACATTAAAATTAATTTCAAATAGATACTCACCCTGAAATAGTGTAATCCTTTTATTGCTAATTCAGTATCTCCAGTTGCGTCATTTTAACCAAAGTTCTCCACTGCCACCTATCATATGACTAATTATGCAAGCCCCGGGTGAACTACATAAACTCAGCTTTCCCACCACAAGCCAGATTTATCATTATGCATTCAAAAAGTCATAATACATTTCATTTGAATGTAGGAAAGATTGTTTGTTTGTATTGAATTTCATGCAAAGCTACTCGAGGGCTACATGTGCTAGCTGTCCCTAATTTTAAAGTGATAGACTAAAGAGAAGGCAAAGGTAGCTAGTAAACACCACCCACTGCCTTCTCTTGGGCTAATCTTGATCAGTGAATAGTAGGACTGACTGACAAATTATAATGCTCCCATGGCTGAAAGGTGAGCATGTTTGGGTATGGGATTCAAACCCCCTACCCTCAGATTGTAAGTCAAGTGCCCTAACTAATAGGCTTTGCCAGACTTCTTGTGGGGAAGTTTCTGGAAATTTACTTAAGAGGTAAGTACCTCTTTTAAATGTATTAGCAGAAATGCTGCCTTACAGCAGCTGTTTGTTCTAGTAATTACTAATTGTAGTATTCACACCTCATTGACAAAAATTTAGAAAAAAGTGAACATTTTCTAATAAAGGATTTTTTTTCTGGGAAATACAGAAGTGTGAATTTCTACCTGTGAAGTAAACAGACACCATGTTATAACTGTGAGTTGAATGAAACATTCAATGTTAAAAATTTCCTGGCATCAAATGCTGACACAAAAAAAATCAACAAATGCTATATTTTGTTGTGAACAAAAGTAAAAAATCACAAATTCGATTTTAATGAAACCAAGAGTAGCCTTTTTTAAGATAATGCTTTTAATAAATAGCATCAAAAACATATTCAGAATAAAAAATGACATGGTTGTCGACAGAAAGAATGGCTCACCATGGAAAAAGACTTACAGTATTTCATAGATAAGTCTACCACATTTGAAAGTATGGTATAAGATTTTCATGTTTAAAGCATGATATTTTGCCACTTACAAATAAATTTCTTCATCTCCTAACAGAAACTGTTTCAAAAGCATTAAAATATACCTTTTAACAGCAATTTAATTATCCATGCTATAGATTTTAAGTAAAACATTCCATTAAAAGAAAACATTAATTTTAAAAATGTGTACCAACCTTTTATCATTACTTTCTGCATGGCTGGTGGAACACCTAAAAAAATCCACTATAATTAAGTATTTAAAAATACAAGATTATTTTTACAGTGTATTTTGTAACAGATTGTGAGAAAAGTCATTACAAATATTTTGAGTCATTAACACTTAAGGGTACATAAAATGTTTTTAATTTTTTAAATTATGCATGAAAATAATCAACTCTCCACCCACAATAATACTTTTTGCACTGAATTGATTATCTCAGAACGTAAAGTTGAAAATAAGTCCTTTATTTATATATTTTTTAACAAAACCAGATTATGCTAACATTTCTCTTCAAAATACTCAAAATTACTTTGCCATGAAACTAACTTTCTTTCAACTTTTTGTATTATCTTATTTTACTTTAAGTAAATTTTCATGAGGGTAATATTATATCATGGTTAGTAGACATTAGTTTTTATACTTTGCATAAACTAGATTTTAATTTTTAAACACAAGCATAACTGTTTTAGTCACACCAGCTATAAAAAAATGAAGTATCATTAAAACATTTTCAATATATTAATACTTTTAGGAATACAATGAAAATTACCAAACACAATAAAAGCACATAAAACCTAGTGATATGTCCATGTACAAGATTTCATTGAAAACAACTCTAAATTCATTGACTTCAGAAAAAGTAAAACAAATTTTAGGTAAGTTAACATTTTCCTAAACTGGAAATGTATTTCTGACTAGATACGTACCTCATCTCACAAAAAGATTTCTCGATTAGTACTGCCCTCTATCAGTGAAAATTTTTTGCTCGCAACAAGCCTTGTAGCTCCCACTTCTTTCTGCATATCTACATGCAAATGATCATGCAGCAACCCTCCACCAATAGGAGTGTGACACCACCCCTATCGTAACTAGCGCCCTCTCTAATAATGCACTTGTTCTTGTTAACCCTCTCAATACGGGCTCAGTCGATTTGACCGACCACGTGATCATTTTGTCCTTGTTTAAAGTCTTTATAGGTTTGATACTACTAACTTTTAATATAGTGTGTATATCTTCACAAAATTTGGCAGTCTTTCAGTAAACATTATAAGTCTTTCACATACAAAAAATCATATTTTTAGTGAAGTATTTTTAATAAACTAAAAAAAAAAGATTTGCCCATGAACATATCGAGTATTTGTTTTTAATAGTCCATGTGCAAAGAGATTTTCATGTTAAAAATACTTTTCTTCATCTCAAAAATATCAAATTTCAGTGTAATCTCTAACACCTCCTAAATACGTTTCAATTGTTTGTTTTCTGTAAAGCTTTTATATTTTATGTTATTTTCTCTACCCTAACTCTATACAAGGTTGGTCAATCTGACCGACCTCATAACCACCAAAAAAAAAAAATCTAAATTACTCTCTTTTTCTTTCTAGAATGACTTCAAATTTTAAAATGACACTACATTAGTTTATCCTAAGTAGCTTTAAACTGGTAACAGTATACATCTATTTATAATTAAATTTTACTGATTTTTGCCCTTTGAACTTTGCCTAATCACTATTCATGACATTATAAGTTGCAAATCACTTGGGGAATGTGGAGCTCACTTTACGATATTGAATTACATTACCCACGAGCTGCTCATTATATAATACATAATTTGATAGATGAAAACCTTGGCTTTCCATTGTTTATAAATAATATACAGTCAAACATAAGAGAGAACTATTAACAAATCCTGAGAGACAGGATGTGACAGGTGGGTGTGGCAAGAAGGGTCTGATTTTCTATTTGATGGCTCTGTAATCAAACAAAGCTGAAGTTTATAAAAATTATGGTATGTCTGAGCAATGACAATTTTACAGTAAGTAATTTACATTAAATTTTGTACTTATTGAAGGGTGGTGAATAAAATAGAGAAGAGGGGATGCCTAGAGGAAATGTTTCACTTATCACACTAGAGAAAATTTGGGATTTTTTAAAATATTGCCTTATAAAATTAAAAACTTAAAACTTATATACTATTAAAATATGGATTATTAGCTACAATTTTATGCTATACTAATTGGTACAACATAAACAAAGAGTAGTTTCATAAAATATTGAATGTAAGTCACTAAAGCCTTGTGACATGCACAGTAAAGGATGCCTGTGGTGATAGGATTAATCACTACAAGATTAGCCATGAACAAGTCAATCAATTTCCCGGAAGTGGGGAGGACCGGTGGAGAATGTGAGAAGAGGTAAATATCTAGTTGGAAATATATTTTTCAATTTAGGAAACTGTTAACTTGTGATACGATATCTTACATCATCTCACAAAAAGCTAGAATCCCACACTAAACTGGTAGAGAGCCAGTAAGAATATGATCCTCCTTGAGAAAGCACCCCAAAGAAAGACCATGAGATGTGGTAAGGTATGAATAACATCACACCACCTAGCGGGAGACTGCACTGCTTTTGAGCCAGTTATATCTCTTTGCCCTATAGGAATTTGTTACCAAAGCTGAAAGGCCAAAAACATGGATGGTCCCTAAAATGTTATTAGCAGTAAAGGAAACTCTAGGTGTCGAGTGTCTAGGGCACGACAGACCGTAAATGGGAGTTTAACCTAAATCAACACCTGGTGGCATCTGGAACTGTACATCAGGTCTGTGGTAGGAAGAGGGCCCCTCTACCTTTCACCTCAAAAACAGGTACTGGATGGGAATACAAGCATCCATACAAAAAACCCAACTCAGCATGTGCACACTTCCAACACAACCAACATCGGATTCACCAGAAATTGACACCCAGTAGATGGTATGAAGTAAGAAGAACTCAAGAGTAATTCATCTCTGGTCTAAAACCTGAGAGCAATGCAAATGTTACACCAAATCCACAGTAGGAACAGGGAAGCCAGCCTTGCAATAGAGTAATTGTGTTTTGTCCACCTTCAAATAACACCAGATCCACCAGGAACTGACATCCAGCAGATAGTAGGAAGATGAAGAGGGACATCAAGTTCGGGTAACATCTCCAGTCCAAACCTGGCAGCATTGGGAATTTATCATTCAGTCCATGGTAGGAGGAGAGAACAAGCTAAACACATGTGAGGAATTATGTTGCTGGACTGTCTCCAACCAACACCCTACCCAACCAGGAACTGACATCCTGAGATTGGTAAGGAGGAATATCACAGCTGGAGGGGCAAACTGAAATACATATATAGATATGGCAGAGTGCTACAAACAACACCTGACAATAATGGTTGGAGATGGCTTGAATGGGTAATGAAGAAAAACTTTAATATAAGGTTAACATAACAGCAAATGTACAACATTTCGACAAGGTTTTATCATCATCAGGTACACCTGACAGTATCTGGAAATGTACATCAGGTCCATAGTAGGAAAAGCCTCAATGCCACGGAGACAGACAGTAATCCCTGTCTGCTTTATCCATGTAAGTCCATGAGTGTACAGTCCAGGATGAACATATTTATGAAGCTAATTACCACGAGATATATCTAAAATTGGTCCTACGGAACACCCCATCTGAATGGTGTGTGTAACATAATCCTCTGAGGTGTATTGTCTCAAGTATAATATTTGATATTGATGCACAGATTACCATTGGATGGAGTCGATCAACCAACATCTGGTGGCATCTGGAATTGTACATCAGGTCTGCAGTAGAAAGCATCCCAACACTATAGTCATCCAGAATGGTCAGAGGACATACAGTACAGATTTGATTCAAAGTATACCTGTTCAGGCACCATTCACCACAGAGCAAGTCTCCGGTAAAGGAAAAGAAACTGAGTACTTACCAGTCCCAAAGAAACAGAAGTGTGGAAAATGGTAACTGGAGGTAAAAAGAAACCCACAGAGCATAAAACAGCCACATGATGTAGGTAGTAAGATGTAAAGGTATGTGGGGTAGTCCACATACCTGTGCTGATGATGCAGAAATGGGCAGCCAAAGACATGTTCAGGTGATGGATCTGATGGAAAAAGACATGAAAAAGGTGACAATGATCCAAAAAAAGGGAAAAATATGCCAGGTGAAGGGTAATGGAATATAGATCACATGAAATAGCAGGATTCCAATGAATAAAGAAAGAGACAGAGGAACCACAAAACGGAGCAGTGCATGTCATATACCATCAGAGGCCCCTAACCTGGCATAGAAGACAATCAGTATGTGAATGGTCATAAAGATAGGAGATGGAGGGAAAGGAAATGGAAGTAAAAGCAGAATTACCCTCAAAGGAAACGTCCAGGACAGAAAGGAATGGTTGGGTAAGAGGAGAACTTAGAAATTATGGAACAATATACAGAAACCATTGATTGCAAAAAATGCCAACAACAAATGGAAATGGACTTCATATGGAGTATGAGTAAGAGGGTGAAGTTCCAATTGGGAAGAGAAGCAGGGTGGGGAGGACGAGCAATTGAGAACGAAAAAATAACACAGACAAAATTTGATAAATTGAAAAGTTGAATACAAAGCCGTCCTGTAGCCCACAACAGATGAAACCGAGAAGTCCCTGTCATAAAGCCAAGTGAGGAACAGTAAGTCAAGAAGGATGGTAACCCCATCATAGAGACCAAAAGCAGAATGTAGTCTTCTTATATCGACAAACTGCCAATGAGGATGATCAAACAAGGTGAGAAATCAAGGAGGCAACAAGCCTGGAAATTACAGACCATCTGGTAAGGAACCGACACAAACAAAAGCCACACGAGAAGATGGAGTGCAGGTGGAAAAGGATGTCATATGCTATAGTGAGGCTGACAAAGGAGTGTGAGAGAAATAGAGAGAAGAACTGGTGGTGATATCAATAGCTATCGTAGAAACCACATTTGAGCCAGCCAATATCGGGCCACTAACAGAAATTGACTAGGAATGGCCAGAACTATCGAAATGACACAAGGAAGAAGCCAATTAGGAGGATAAGCATATAAGAGAGCAGTTACTGCATCCACCATTGGTCAATTAAAGCCCACTGAAGATGATGCATGTGAGCATGACCCAGAGCAATGAGGGCCTCAAGAGAGAGGTCCACATCCCCAAAAG